TATCATGTTTATTTTCAGGCACGGATTGGTTGCTGTTCATATCAGTTATTCTGGTTAAGTTGTTTGTAACACTTGGTCTCAATACGGCAACTTTATATACAGCCGAGCTTTTCCCAACACCAGTCAGGTATGTATATATAGCAGCATACTTCATATGTCACTTTACGTAGATTCAGATATAAGTATATAATTCAAAAGAATCGCTGCATCTTGCTAAAGACTTGGTAACAATGGCAAGTCTGTATTCTCATACTATGTATTTCTACCTGACGTTTGCGAAATCCAGTTGCACCATACCAAACCCATATCGTTTTACCCTATCACAATTCACAGCATATTGAAAATTGCAGACTAGCGTCCCAATATGAAAACAAGTATAAGCATCACTATTAGCATTACAAGCGAATCTTACACAAAAGTTTGTTTTTCTGCCTCCTAAAATTTTCACTTGACAGTGAATATATTTCATTTAGGCAAAGAAAAAAGTGTAACTTGGACATGATCAATATGACTGTAGTATATACGGCTCGGCGTTAAAAATCGATCTGAATTTGTTTGTGATGAACTTATTAAAGCAAACAAATTGTAAATGTGTTTCAATTATGATATGCTCTTCCATATTTTGTCTCTCATAAACTTATTTCTAAGTATCAAGTGTGATGTAGATTGAGTGCGCATCTAATGTGTCAAGTTCATTTGCAGTCAACACAAAACTTAGCGTTGGATGTTCTTAGTTGTCGAAATATTAAATGACCCGCATACATGACACTCGCGTCAGACTAAATCATACTAAAACTCGACGAATCTTCAGCTGACTTAGATTGAGATTAGTCAACAAGATTGAGGAAAGTATACAAACACACGGAAAGTATAGGATTAACTTTATGGTATGTTTTAACAAGCCGTTAACACATAACGCATCGGCGATCCCACGTCATGTTGAAATTAAAAACAAAATACAGGTTCTCCTAAACGGCTCTGTCTTTGCGCTTTTAAATGTCAAAACAAGTGCACAAGTTAATTCAGGTCACGGCAAGTTGAAATCACGTAGAACGATTCACATCACATCATGTGAAAGCAAAAGGTGATGAAAGTTATAGTTATCATCCGCTATTGTCACCAACGCTGAATTAATCACTTGGAGTGTTTTCCTGTTGGTTAACTAGACAAATTCATACAGCTCACACGCAAATAATTGACATATCCTGCGATCGACACCCAAGACGACTCTTATCAACAGCATAAATGCGTAATTATTTTGTTTTACATTTGAGTTAGTAACGCATCACAAAATGCAATTATTGTCACATTTTTTAAAAACTTGAAGTCTGGCGATTCCAGGATTATATACTATCTGTGGCCATTTAGTAAAAAATAGAAGAAGTAGGCAAATAATAGTTTCGCAATCTTAATGCCGCCATTATTTATATTTGTTTTCTTGTTCGTCCGTGTCACATACAATTATGCCTGAAGAAGTTAGCGATCACAAAAATACGCCCATATACAATAACAGATATTCAAATGAATTTTTACTATATGCTGTTTTTGTGATGGATGTGCACAAATAAGTGAATTTTGTTTCTTTAAGGAATGCGGCTTCCGGGCTTACACACGTGTTCATGTTTCTTGGCGATATTATTGCACCATTCATTATGCTTTTGGATTCCGTATGGTACCTAGCCCCATTGACAGTTTTCAGCGTTCCATGTATTATATCAGGACTGTTAATCCTGCTTCTCCCCGATACAATGAACGGACCAGCTCCTGATTCTATTGAAGAACTAGAGAATCCATACATGTAGGTTTTATAATATATGTATTTGCTTTGCTAACAAGTATTATTTTTCAATAAAATATACAGTAATTCATCAAAAGTTCATGAACAATTCACGTGGATTCCATGCATGGCAGATTTGGTAAAATATCCCCAAAAAAACATTCATATCAGTAAAATTGTTATTGCCCAAGCAAGATATGAATTCGAAATTTAAAATAAAAAGTCTCGAAATATAGAAATTTGCACTATGTATCCTTATATTTTATTTGAATTTTTTCTCCAATATAGAATTTTGGAATCAAATAAAAATGAGCAAGATCGTACACAACTCGTCGTGAAGAACTACGAATAAGACTAAGCAGTTAACGATGCATGTACCTTCAGAGATTGTCATTTGAGCTAAAAACGTGTAATGTATATAAACACTGTACTGCAAAATTAGTAGGATTATATAATATTATTTCTGATAATGTAGTCATTTAAATATTATTTCTAAATAAATATATATTCACACCTTCTGGCTTAATGTAGACATCATAAAACTGCTGTGGCGTGTTTGTATCCTTCCTTTCACTTTAACGTTTATAGTTTTGAACGAATCCCGGTTATCTGCCTGATGAACATCAATAGAAAGCATTTTTTGATATGCATCATATATCACCATCCAGTACGTGCAGAGCTTTCTTACGAAGTTCAAGACTGCTTCATCTGTCATAAAATGTATGACTAGATCTGTCTTTCCATTTATCTGCTTATATAATAACTATGCCTTCATACCTCAATAAAGTATGCCTTTCTTTTCTCAGTTGGGTTTCAAGTCATGTTATCTATGTCATAGACATGTGCTGTGATGTGATATCTTGTATGTACATTACTCCGTGTTGTTAGCAGTACCCGATAGCTCCTCGACATAGTCCTCGACTGAAATACCTTCATAACTAGCACACCTGAATGCTTTCGCGTGTGTGTGACAGGAGGTTGGACAGTGCGGGTCGCCATCTTGGCAGTGTCCGTAACTGAACCAAACCTAAAAAAACAAAGAAGACCAAAAACCAACAGAAATCGCAGCGAAGGTACTTGCTAATATACGGTGTAACAAACACAGGACCAATAAGTTGAGAGAATACGGGGAAATAGTCAAAGTTTGAAGAGCACTTCTTCTAAACGTCTTTACAGTGCAAGAAGAATAAATAGACAAAACAGTCGAATCCAACAAACCTGGATCCTAAAAGAAGTTAAAACACAACATAGGTACAAGCTTTGCTTGTCAATTAGCCACATTGGAATAATGTTAACAGACTTAATCTAAATATGTTCTCATTATTGCACGCATTGATTCCACAGTTTCTTACCAGGGGCCCAACATGTAAGGCTGCACCTTATTGTTGTTGTTTTTCATTTATCCTTCTTTCTTCTTGTTTTAATCGAGGCGTTTGATAATATGACTAAAGCTAGTAGCATGAAACCTAATGTGCTGATGTGGAACCCCAATGGGAACTGGTGCACCTGACTTCGAAATGGCGTACGGTCAAATTTGTTATCTTGTTTTGAAATTTTGTATTCCTTCTCACTCCGACAGTTTTGATTCTAAATACTAGAGATTGTCAAACTAGTTACGCAATGTGATGTACTATGCACATTTTAACTAATTTCGTTCAGCAGTCCTTGTGAAAAAGTCGAATAAAAATCCAATTATACTGCATTGTGGGTATTTTTTAGAATTTTTATTTAGAAGTCTGAAATAGGTGAGCTCGTGAACAGTAGTTTAACCTTCAGAAATCTGCTCTCATCATTCAAAACATAATTCTGGCCGCCATTTTGAATTTAGCCAAAACCGGTAGTTTACTGTTTGACATAAACAACATCTCATGTTCTACAACAATACTCATCATTGTCTTTAGCGTTGATGCAATATTAGCCGCAATGAAGGCCTCTAAAACGGAAAAAGGGCATGAAACTTCACTTTTAATGTTTGGTCAGAACATTTTAAAATGAAATTAAGTTGAAGTATCATGTAGTTTGTTCAAAAGTATGTATTTTTTTAAACCAAATAAATTATTTCGTTGAGTCAGTGGTTTTAAAAATTAGTTTCTCATAGGCGCTTCAATCAATCAACTTGATATTTTATGTATAACATGTATAGTCGTTGCACATTATTGAAAAATATTTAAAAAAAAATATTTGCCCTCTTTGTGTTTGTAGAAAAATTGTGCATTTATATTTGCGTATTGATGCGATTGATCTGGAAGGGTAGTTAACTCTAAATATGTGTTTTTTTCTTTTGAATATTAATATCGGTAGGTCAGGTGGTTCGAAACCCATGGGATGGGGATCATCTGACCTCATCAATATGTATGACTGCAATCTGAGCTATTATGAACACATTAGATAAGTGAAATTTATAAAGAAGAACCGACTGCATTTTGATCTTATATTACTGATGATTTAAACTAAACTAAGGGTAATAACGTGAACTAATTTATTATAGAAGAGATGTATTATAGCTTTGCCCCCCCCCCTGACTTGCAGCATTAGTATTGTGTTCTATTTTGGTATTTGGACACGCCATCCCATTTTACAACTTGTTTAGTCTATCTCTCATTCACTATTATTGTATTTTATTAAAAACTACTGGTATTACAAGCTTATTACTCATACGTTTTCCATAGAGATTGAACAATGAAAAGATGAAATGATTTATTGACAAGCAGCTCGTTAGATAATAAAATAACATAGATAGCTAGAAAGTATAGAATAGATTATTATTTTTTCTTGAATCTCCATCATTTCTAACAATTTGTTACATTTTGTAAAATTGTGAGTCGCAGCCATTTTTCTGACGACTTTTAAATATATTTAAATATGCACTGGTATAATCGTCAAATCTGTTTTCATATAGTTGAAATTGGTGTATATTAAGTATCTGAATCCCTGCAGGCTGTTTCAGTGATATACTCATTTTTTACGCATTTTTACGTGCCTAAGAGTACTGAAATACTCGGCAAACCTTGGTCTGAAAGTGGTGAGGTTAAGTTAGATAAAACAGTTGCCTATCGGATATGGTAAACAATAATGCTTCAGTCGGGGAAGTCGGTAATCAAAATCACGTCAAGAGCAGCAAACAAACCAACCAACCAACCAACCGACCGACCGACCAGATAATAACATTATAGTAAACAAACAGTTAATGTTATGCCTAGGCAATAACCGCCCCACCTGGTGTTTTATTGAAGAAACATGGTTTTTGAATGGGTCTGAACCATGATTTTGTTTTCAGGCCATTAATTATTGGTACGACATTTTGCATTATGTCTTCCATCGAGACGAGACTAGCCGACATGCACGTTGACCTGCTAATTGATGTAAGTCACTGAGAGGTGTAAACTAAATGGCAGCGTAATATCAAATCAAAATGTACAAGGTTTCAAAGACATGTTGAAGATGTCTTTGTTATAATCAAATATTCATTTGCCTTTTCACCACCTAGCACCTAGATACGTACACTCCATGTTTCAGCGTAGCAAATATCAATTCAACGTTTGGGTCTTGAGATTGAAATAATTAATAAATGTTGAAATAACTAATACATAAACACATAAACAATACTATCATTTTCCAGTATGTTATATCGATTAATCATTGAACTTCTCAATATTAGCAAAATTAGCTACACTAGAATAAGGATTAGATTCTTGTCCTAAGTGTAGAACAAGACAATAAAAATTACTATGTTGCTATTATTACATTATTGATTTATGTGATGTAATATCCAATAATAATGTAATGTCAATGTCAAACCCCAATCAATTGTTTCCTGGGTAATACATGTGCTCGATATCAACATCATTGGTGCTTACAGTAATAGTTTGCCATGGCTAACTGTCTGTTAATGATCATAATATGTCCATTTCCTTCTTTGTCTTGTTCTGTTTAAATATGGCATTCATTTTGCAAGTTATGACTCTATATTCAAAGGCGTATATGGGATATTGTTGACACTTGGTTACAGAGGCTTCTTGATTACTGGTATGTACATACGTAGGTACTTTTCTTCCTTCTCGGGCACCCTACTAGCCTAGCAAAAATTCAGTTGGTGTAACCTGTTTCAGCCCTAAACTTTGTGCTTCTAGCAAATATTGTTTTTGTATCTGGATTGCGTCCTACACATTTCTGCAAAAAGTATGTCTTAGTGAATACATCCAGCTGAGATTCCATACAGTTATAATTTATTCATGTTTGTAAACGAATTTCATACTGATTCTATGAATCACAGGTTCCTATCCACATTTTGCTGTCTAATTGCATATATCACCGCTCCTTCTTTCGATTGGTCAGCAGCTGGCACCCACCATGTACATCAACACTTGACAGAATAAATAACAATCACCAACTGTGTGTTTTCGCCTCTGGTATGAATACCACACACAAAACCTGCTATGATTGGCAAGTGTCACACCTGAGGTTTTGGTGACATAAGTGATTTATTCAGATATATTTGCATCTGTATTTTATTAATGAGAGGTGTCGCATGCGCTGTGTGTGAGAATGCTGTGTGAGTGCAGTATGCAATACACCGATCTAATTATGGCTATAGTTCGTTGACCTTGGCATAGCAACGGCCGATACGCGGGAACTAGAATCTGTAGTTACAAGGAACAGTACTAGACGAACCTGAGAGGAAACACACCCAAACTAAGGTCACGCTCGATAAGGCTTGTAGGTCAGCAGTGACTACTCTTGATTGGCTAGCAGGTTGCCTAGCAGAGATTTCTAAAAATAGGAGGAAAAGTACCGTTGCGTTGGAAGATGGCGACGAGTGTAATGTAGCTGAAGTTCTCTCGAAAACATACTGGACATGCTATCGTTTGAACATTGGTTGCTGTAAGTGAGATCGGACTTTGATGATCAGTCGTCGGAAGGTGCGGTACTGCTGATGTTGACAGCGTTGGAGAAGAATTGTCGTCGGGACGTGTGTCAACATTGAAGTGGAATTGTCATCAGGACGTGTGATATTGTCTACGTTGAATTGCGTGCATTGGTTGCAACGGCAGGGCTATCGACATTCGCAAATACGTCGAGTTGCACCAGTTCATTGAAGGTCGGGTAAGCGTGGCATTTATCGCAGTTCGTGAGTTCGGGAATTGACTCTTAAAGTACGAAACATTTTATTGACTCTTAAAGTTGTTTTCCCTTACCTCACGGCTTGAACTATCAGTATTTCGGCTTACACATATGTGATAGAGTTTGTGCGAGTGCGAATTGACATGTGCCATCACTTGTTCTGATTTGCGGCCGACTAAATTTTAGTTAGGGCATTTCGTTTGTGCTTGTCTGTTGACTTGTCATTTTATT